CTTCTCCCTTTCCGTCACTTCAAACACACTTCCATTGGTGAATCAGGAAAATAATGTTAACTTTAACTCAATTCTATTCCTTTATTTCAAGGCACAATATGAGGCCACAGAAAAACTTGGCAATAAAAGGGAAAGGTTCCTGATACTATCAGAAGTCTTTTAGACTAAAACCCAAGCAAAATGAAAACACAAAAGATGTGAGCTGGAGGGCCAGAAAACTTTGTTCTGAAGTAAGTTTTGAATTCAGAAATATGGAGAGAATTGAGCATGTTTGATGTTTGAGATTAGGAATGAACTGGATAAATTGTAAAATGTATGCAAGTGTGGGTGATTATATATTGGGTTCATAGTAGTACTGAGTACATTGGATACTTTTTCTTCCATATTGTATATAAAAACAGCACATTGTACTCCATAAATGCATTAATGTACACCGTTATGATTTATAAAGGAAAAAAAAATGCATGCAGCGTTTTAGGAAATGTTACATAATTTCAGTGAAAGCAGTAAAAATCTTCAAATCTTCAGTTTTTATATTAAATCACTAGAGATTTTTGTAGCTAAAATAATGAATTTTAATATTACTTAAGTAACATTTAAGTAATATTAAAAGTCATTACTTTTTTGGCTTAGTGCCTGTGGCTCAAGTGGCTAAGGCGCCAGCCACATACACCTGAGCTGGCAGGTTCGAATCCTGCCCGGGCCTGCCAAACAACAATGATGGCTGCAACCAAAAAATAGCCAGGCGTTGTGGCAGGCACCTGTAGTCCCAGCTACTTGGGAGGCAGAGGCAGGAGACTCGCTTGAGCCCAGGAGTTGGAGGTTGCTGTGGCTGTGATGCCATAGTACTCTACCCAAGGGGACAGCTTGAGGCTCTGTCTCAAAAAAAAAAAAAAAAGTCATTACTTTTATTTAATAATTTTTAAAATTATTTTTAAAATAATTTTTATTTTGCAAAAATATTTTTAATAATTAAATATTAGAATATTTAATACATATCTAAGTCCTGGTGTTTATCTAGGTATCTTTGTCATTAAAAATTGATTTTCTGGCTCGGCACCTGTGGCTCAAGCGGCTAAGTTGCCAGCCACATACACCTAAGGTGGCAGGTTCGAATCCCCAGCCCAAGCCCGCCAAACAGCAATGATGGCTGCAACCAAAAAATGGCCAGGCACTGTGGCGGGCGCCTGTAATCCCAGCTACTTGGGAGGCTGAGGCAGGAGACTCGCTTGAGCCCAGGAGTTGGAGGTTGCTGTGGGAATGATGCCATGGTACTCTACCCAGGGGGATAGCTTGAGGCTTCGTCTCAAAAAAAAAAAAAAAATTGATTTTTTGAGGCAGCGCCTGTGGCTCAAAGGAGTAGGGCACTGGCCCCATATCCCAGAGGTGGCAGGTTCAAACCTAGCCCCGGCCAAAAACTTCAAAAAAAAAAAATTTTGATTTTCTTTGTCACTTACATTCTAATAACTATTAAATTTTCAGTTTTAAGGCAGTAGTGGTTCATGAATTTGAAAAGTTAGAAATCTATCAGAGATGAAGTTTTAAAATTCCAAAGTCCTTTGAATATATTTTTGGCAACATTTTGATGATGACCTTCACATTTTCTTTCATCAACTGAGTGTTAAGGGGCTGCCGAGAGCCTGGGAACAGCTAGAATTCAGAGTTTCTCTTTGCTTCTGGGTTATGTGACATAGAGGAAAGGGCATGGAGCTCGGAGCTACACAGCCCTTGGGTTCAGATCTGGCTCTGTGCCTTTCAGAAGTTACTTAACATCTGTGAGCCTCAGCCTCATCATCTGAAGATGGGACATGTCCCCTGAGGTGGTCCTGAGGATGAACTAATGTATGTGAAGAGCCTGCAACATAGCGAGAGAGCAATCAGTTGTCTCAGTTATTAAGTTTCATTTTCATTTCCCAAAGTCTGGAGTAGAATGGCCTTGCTTAAAAAATGGAATCCCTTTTTCTCTTCATGTGGTAGTCTTAAATACTTATTTCTTTCTCTTTTCTTTCTTTCTTTTTTTTTTTTTTTGGCACAATATCCCAAACTAAAGGAAATAATATCCTGCCACTCCATCGATTTGTGTTCCTCTTCAGCATGCTATATTGAGTTAGCTGACGTAATCATTGGCTAACATTGGCTTTTAACCAAGCGGGGGTGACAAGTTTCTTTCCTAATGAAAGGCACGCTCTGGATAGGATTTCACCTCAATTTAGAATGTGTCCTTCGTAACTGGACTATTTATTGGTAGAGAACTGCCTGTGCTTCACTTTCTTGGATCTGGTCATTAACAGTTTGCTCATCAGAGCACCCAGTTTTCTCAACCCAGTGTTCACTGTGGGGAGCTATGAACTGTGACATGTAAATTTCATGCTTGTCTCTTGAGATGGTGCAAACCAGTCAAAAACTTCAGTGGCTACATCAAAATAAACCATTAACAAAAAATAAATTTACTCTCATTATAAGACTTCATATCATTGCCAATTATGTCCTGTTATGGAGGATATAATTGATTTTGTGTCCTGACATTGATATATGCTAGTATCTTGGTTTACTTGGGTAGCTGTGAAAAAATATCATAGACTGGGGGCTTAGACAGCACACATTATTTTTCATAGTTCTGGAGGCTGAAAGGCTCAGATTAGGGTTCCAGTGAGGACTCTTTTCCTGGGTTGCAGATGGTAACCTTCTTGCTGTGTCCTCACACCATGGAGAGAGAGAGTGTGACAGTTTCAGGCTCTTTCTCTTCTTCTTTTTTCTTTTTTGAAATAGAGGTAATATCTTGCTATGTTGCCAAGGTTGAATTCCAACTCCTAGGTTCAAGTGATCCACCCCACCTCAGCCTCCCAGGCAACTGGGATTGCAGGTGCATGCCCCTGGCTCTTCCTTATCTTATCAGGACACTAATTCTGACATGGGGGCCCCACTCACATGACCTCATCTACCCATAATTACCTCCCAAAGGCCCTATCTTGAAATATTATCACAGTGGGAGTTACAACTTAATGTAAATTTTGTGGGGAACACATTCAGTCCATAACAACTAACTAGTACATAACTTCTCTAGGCTTTGGTTTCCTCATCTGTACATGAGAGATAATAAAAGTACCTTCCTCATAGATTGTTAGGTAGTTGGGTTAATAGAAGTAATCCACTTAGCCTAGCTCCTGAAACCTAGTAGGCCCTTGATAGCTCTCAGTAGCAGTGCTAGAGGTAAAATTCATAGCGATGGTTGGATATTTGTATATATGAACATGTCTCATTCCAGGAATTTACCAAAACTATACTTAAGTTTTAAATTGGTGACTGAATTGTTTTTAAGTGGTATTAATGAGAGTCTCTTTCTTTTTCCATATTCCTGCTGCCATTTTCTCTTCCCAGCATAACTGAGTTTTCTGTTTCTGGATCCAATGCCTTTCAATTGTGTCCTTTCAGGTCAGCCCTCCACTGAGGCTGCGGTCATTTCTGCCTCTGGCCCTACCTTATTTCCATTTGCCTGTTGGCTCCCTAATCTTTGCTTCTAGCCCTTTCAACTCTTAGAATCTTCCTCTTTTTAAAATTTTTTCCGGCTCAGCGCCTATAGCTCAACAGGCTAAGGCACCAGCCATGTACACCTAAGGTGGCGGGTTCGAATCCCCAGCCCGGACCCGCCAAACAACAATGACAGCTGCAACCAAAAAATAGCCGGGCGTTGTGGCGGGCGCCTGTGGTCCCAGTTACTTGGGAGGCAGAGGCAGGAGACTCGCTTGAGCCCAGGAGTTGGAGGTTGCTGTGAGCTGTGATGCCATGGCACTCTACCCAGGGGGACAGCTTGAAGCTCTGTCTCAAAAAAAAAAAAATAAAATAAAATAAAATTTTTTCCTTGCTACTACTTCTGGTCTCCCTCATTCACTTCAGGATCACTTTGAAAGATGAGGGTTCCTCTGGGTCTTCTAAATAAAGGTGGCCAAGTTCCTAAGACAAATGTTCACATTCAGCTTGTCACACTCTTTCTGATTGATTAAAATATTCCCTACGATCTCTTCTCCATCAAACCTTCCAGGATGACCCAAGAAAAGCACCCCACTGCTGCTTTTCCCAGTGAACCCTGGGAATGGATTCAACATTGTTACCGACCAATAGAGCATCTGATTGAGTGAAACATTCCCCAAACAAGTTGGGAAATGAAGAGTCTTCTGTAAGAAGGAATTCGTGGTTATCAGAGTGAAACATATATATTAAAGCTAGATTATACAGTAGAATCTCCATAGTTGGCCACTTCCCTCTAGTGACCATCTCCTTAAGTTGACCCAGTTTTCACAGACTGAACAGCTTCTGCACATACACAATGGAACTTCCCTATGTTGACCACCTCCACGTGTTGACCGGTGTGTTATAGTCCCTCTGGGACATTAGATGCCCCCATGAGCAGCTGTGTTATTACCTCCCTGTTTGCAAATTTCCAAGTCTTAAAGAGAGGATATATTTTTAAGTAGATTTGAAATCAACTTTTTATTCAGTTTAGTTTATTTTAGACTTCAGTACTGGCAGTGACCAGAGAACTGTTATATAAAAATTTACCTTCCGAGCAAATCAATTTCTGTTTTTTTTTTAAACTTTATTCAAATTAATATGAGGGTACAATATTTAGGTTACAGTGTTCTCACTTCCAGGGTAAAGTTCCTTTTGTAGAAGAGCCCCTCACCTGGGGGGTGTTATACACCCTCACAACGTTACATTGGGTGAGATCCCACCTCCTGCCCTCCTTCCTTCTGCCAAACGTCCTCCCCTTTCCCCTCCAGTTTCCTCTACCCCCAAACTGGACTATAATAGTGTTTTATTGTTCTCATGAACATGTAATTGTTCTGTGTTGATTTCATATTGCTATTGAGTACATCAGATGTTTATTTGTCCATTCTTGCAGTAGTTTACTAAGAAGAATGTATTTCAACTCCATCAAGGTAAATGTTAAAGATGTCAAGTCTCCATCTTTTTTAATGGCTGAATAATATTCCATGGTATGCTACAATATGGAATGCTTCACGGATTTGTGTGTCCTCCTGTGCAGGGGCCATGCTAATTGTCTCTGTCATTCCGGTTTTAGTATATGTGCTGCTGAAGCGAGCACCAGATCAATTTCTGTTAAACTACCTTTAAGTCATTTAAATTTTTAACCTAGAACTAAGATACATGTTACCAAAATGACCGTTTGTAAGCCTGTTTCAGGCTTGGCATTTTTGACATTTAGTTCTAGGCACGCTGTTTCTGACCTGTTAGTTTGGGGAAAGTCTTGGTTAAGGACGTTTCATCCGCTCTGATCCCTGCCTGCCATCCACCAAGTACTTTTGGAACCCTGCTTCTGGCCCAGACCCCACTGTAACGACAGCCATAGCAAGACCTAGCCCAGAGGGGAGCCAGGAACCCCAGAAAAGGGCTTTTCACAGGGAGACACGGCACCGGGCTGTGGCCTCTTTTTAGCCTTCTAACAGCAAGTATGTCGCCAGCAAGGGGTGCTGGGATACACTTGGCTGAGAAGGAAATTCCAAGAGAAGACTCCTTGACGAAAACCCAGCTCTGGTGTCCCTGCCCGAATGATGCCTTGCTAGCATATAGCCAGTTGTAAAAGGAAAAAAATCAAACCCAAACGCAGAAGCAAGTTTCTTAATGCTTTGATTTCCCTAGTTAAAGTTTTTGCTTAAGCAACTTCTGCTTATTGTGTGGAAGTGATTGCAATTTTAATTGTGGTATTGAAGTCATCTGTAACATTGCTTTTTTGTGTGTGTGTAATTTTTTATTTTTATTTTTTTACAGTTTTTGGCCAGGACTGGGTTTGATCCCACCACCTCTGGCATATAGGGCCGGTGCCTTACTCCTTTGAGCCACAGGCGCCGCCCTGTAATTTTTTTTTT